GCTATGGCTTCTTAGCTCTACAAGCTACTATTTAAGGATGCCAATCCTGCTCGATCAGTCATTTCCGTCGGTATGAAATGTCGCGTCTTCTATATTTCGACTGTTTGTCGGGAAATAGCGACCAAGACTAGAGGCAAAAACTTCCCAATAACTTCCTTGAGCTCACTCGAACCAGTCTATTCCAGTACACAAAGCAGCTGAAACGATGTCAGAGAAGAAAAATTGCAATGACGACGAAGCGTCTTAAAGCAAGGTCGAGAAACTATGAAATTATGACCCAGATGCTCACACTTTATGGAAAGGATAAACTATATAATGATTCTTAAATCTTTCCATAATTGCTTCTCACTAAATAGTTTTCTTGGTCGTGGAATCTCGAACGTTCGGGGTCAAGTGTCCATGCCAGCAATATCGACCACCATCAATGCTGGAATTGCAATATTCACTTTGTGCTCTCGTCTCATATTATTTGTCATACACAAGTATTCTGATGTATATTTCAGATATTGGATGTTGAGACTCTTTTGCTTCCGTATTTTGATATGTATGATATTCTTCATGGGAGCACCTGCCTTTATCACAACGAAGATCTTCCAAGTTCTGGAATCTATCATACCTTCCTCATGAATGAAACAATACAAGGGTATTGTACAAAACTTTGCTCTATGGAAAATCCATCAGCTTCTGGCATGGCCTGGGCGATCATACCCCTCCTTGTTTATTCACTCTACATAAACGTGCAAATGGAAGGATCACATTCGCATGAAAAATCTTTCAACTCAATTGATTCACATCTCTTCCCAGTTATTCAGTATCACGTCAAGTGGATTTACTCCCATAATCTTATCAATTAGACTCTTTGGATTGGTCGCCTTACCCGGTTAAACATGTAAATGGAGCCTGGAAAACACCTTGATGGCTATTTAAGAGTACAAGCAAAAATTCCATGGATCTTCTGCACATCAATTTTTGAGAGTTCAAATTATTTTCTGTCTTCTTTCAATTTCAAGACTTAAAACAACAGACTTTGCAAAAAGATTGTCCAAGACAAGATAAACTACGCAAACAAATTCATGGTAATGTAATCTTGCAATATTTCATAATCACCACTTTCAATCCAGATTGTGTCCCACATATAATATATTATATGGATAACACTTCAATACCTTCGTCCGCAGGTATATGAATAGCTCATCCATGGCTCTATAGTCGACTGTTTCATATCACATACAACTTTATCAGTCAACGAATAATATTGGAGCTGATAGTTACCCCGTGCCTCCACGAGGTCTTCCCATCAACTCTAAATTTCTAATACCCTCCTTTCATACTTGGCACCGTAATAACTTTTTTAATCATCACATTCTAATCTCGCAATCATCTCGTAGCTCCGAATCTTACGCAAAAATAACAATTTCAAAGAAAGCCTGGAATATCGATCATGGGCAAACTTTCGATCTGTTCCCTACTATCCTCCATCCGCTCAATCTACCGGGAAAACAAAACATCCTCGTCCTCAAAATTTAGCAGTGCCTCCTTCACTCCCGGTGTCGAAACAAAAGAAGTCCTCAAGAATATCCCAAATCCACAAGCCGAAGTCTACATACAGAAAATCCTCTCTCTTCATACACAGCTATCCCAACTCACCGATCTTGGTCCTTCTCCTGTAGCCAATGCTTTGTTTTCAGAACTTGTGGGAACATGTATCACTGTTGTTCCTGACTTGAATTCAAAATTGGTCAGTTTTGTAACTAGAGCTCGATTGGCAACCGTCGACTAATCGATATGTAGGTACTAAACGATCCACGAATTTCCAGCATTTTACCTACGCTCCGAGAGATTTGTTCAACCGCTGAAGCATGCATGGAGTCCCACTGGGCAAAAGCAATCTCCAACGCTCAAACCTATGAGGATGGCAAGTCTGACAATTCCATAGCCCAAATTCCCCACAACTAACAGTACCCAGCCCATCGCGTCCTCTCCACCTTCCCCTACGACAAGAACTACGAACACCTAACACGTTTCGAACTCGCCGCTATCTCATCAACCGGCTTCACTCTCTCCCCATCTACCAGCATCGCTTTTATCGGCTCGGGTCCAATGCCCCTCACTAGTCTCTGCATCCTATCTGCACTCTCCTCAAACCACATGACGTACAACATTACACTCACTTCATCTATTCCATCTGTTGCCCCAGCCCCACAATATCCCACCACAATCACAAATATTGACAGTAATCCTCTCGCTAATACGCAAGCTCAAGCCCTATGCGAATCACTCGGCGGACTTCCATCCACCGCAATGAAATTTATCACGTCATTAGCTGGATCTAATGATCTCGATCTCTCGAGTTATGAGATCGTATGGTTAGCGGCCTTAGTGGGTGGCATCCAGGAGGATAAAGAGAGCATTTTGCAAAATGTGGTGAGGAAGATGAGGAAGGGGAGTTTGTTGGTTATGCGAGGGGCGTGGGGGTTGAGGAGTGTGCTTTATTGTGTATGTGTTTGCCTTTTTCTTCTGGTTTTCTTGCTTGATGGTTTAGATGTTTTCTTTGGTACCAGGAGATGTGGAATGCGAGATACAAGATCTCATGTAAGTGGAAGAAAAGCAGAACAAAGCAAATAGCTAATCACAGAAAAATAGGATTTCGACGTCACGACCCCAGCAGTAACCGAACATCTCGATATTTGCGTCCGCATGGACCCATTCGGCGATGTCGTAAACTCCGTCATTGTAGGGAGGGTGAGATAATTCTGTCTCTGTCCTTCACTTGATCACGGGAGGGGTGTGAGGTTTTACGATCTGCTTGTATTGTTAACACATTGCTGAGATGTGGTCGTGCTTGAACTGGGTGGATCTGAAGGAAACTGGGAGGGTGAGAATGCCTGAATGGTGGAAGGTTATAATATCATTATAGATGGATGGGTATGGTAATTGGGGAGGTGTAGATGAGAGATCATGTTATCTGTGGTTGAATATTTTTATTCCCCTTTTGAGGCGAGAGGTTTTGGGAGGGAGGAGAAAAAAGGAGAGGGGAGGACGGGGAAGGGAAACGTCTTTCTTCCATTCCAAGCTGAGATGAATGAATGAATGCCAACACAGCGCAGTGTTGTTCGAAACGAACTAAACTCCAATTATGGATGATAGATACCTAGATAAATCTACAGGATTTTGATAACCACATATATGGATTCAACTCGATATGTTCGACTAGAGATGTAATGATTTATTTACAATTCTTACCTTATTCATAGCTTGTTAAACTTTGACAATCGATGTGTAACAAAGAAAGAATAAGAACAACAATAAGAATAAGAAGAGTAGAGGTAGCTGCACGTAGGTGACTTAAACATATACATCCATCCATCCTCACATAAGAGACACCGAAACGAATTGATTACTTAATTCTTCATTCATTCATTCATGAACTATGTATCCAAAACAATATATATGTATGAGATATGTATATAATAGAAGAAACCCCCATTCGTAGCCAGCTGCTAGGTATCTCTTTTGTGTATTGCATATCAGATCAGATTATTTCGATTCGTTTCATTTCGTATTATTTCATATACTCTCTTATCCACATCCACATCCACATCCACATTCACTCGCGACAAAGAGGTCTGGTGAGTTTTTACTCCGGCTTCTGCTTCTGCTTCTGCTCCTATCTTAGAGCCCAGATCTGACAACGGATGCGGGAGACTAGGCTTCCTACCTCTCACCCCTCACCCTCTTGCTCTCAATCCCAGCCAACTTTGAATCCACGACGATTCACCTCCCCCTCTTGATCCCCCATACTATCTCCCCCATCATTTCCCCACCCATCCATCTCTCCACACCTCACACGTCTTGCATCTCACACATCTCGCATCTCACTAAATCCACAAATTCCTCTCCATCTCCACTTCCATCTCCACCTCCCTTGTACTTTCCGCAATTCACCAACTCACCAACTACCTACAAGTTACAACATCTCCACTCTCACTCCCACTCAAAACCAAGAACCCTAACAACACAAAAAGAAGACTCATCATCACCACCATCATCACAAAAAGTGGTATCCCGCTACCTCGTCAATACCTCAAACTGTCAAATCTCGCAACCACAATTTCACAAAACACAACAAACAACACGTATTGAATGAATGAGCGAAATGCAAAAACATAGCAGAGCCTAACATAGCCCAGCCATCAATCAAATTCAAATTCAATATAAACATCCCAGAAAGAACCAGAAAAGATACCTTCACACAGCTCCCCTCCCGACATATCAGTTAACATACACATCAACACCAACACCACACCATAAGTAACATATCAAAAAGCGCCTATAGTCAGAAATTACAAGAAAATACAACATCGGTAGAAATTGGTTAAAAAAAAAAAAACAAGTAACATTTCGCTGGTTTTTGGGTCTCTTGCAAGGTTGAAGTTTAAAAGGGAAGCTCCGCTGTACTGTACGTTCATAAAATTGGGAATCACAAATGGGAAATGTAAAAGAGAAGCGAATGTCCCGTGTAGCCACACTATCTCAAGAGAAACCGTCCATATGCAGTCCTTCCCCTAATTCCCTCGTATTTTTATCTGAATTCTTCCCCTCATCTCAATTGTGTCATACTTTCGTCTGATATCCATCCTACCACACCCTCATATGATATTCCTTTCCTCCCAATGAATCCCTTCCATTCCTCCCATCCCACCAAATGTAAAAGCCACCCGAGAGATCCGAATTGAAATCTGTGAGAAAACTCCTGCCAGCCGGCACATCCTCACATTGTGACATGAAAAACCTGTTCATATTCAAAAGAAAAAAAAAAAAAAAAAAAAAAAGAAGCGACCCATACGTGAAGAAAAAAAACCAGACCCTTAAAATCGCTAAATTGAAGTGTTACGAACACAATAGCAGGTCAAGAAACAATCGCTGTCGTGATATCATAAATAAACAATTGGAGCTGTGGATGGAATGATGAATGTTATGAAAGATATTAAATATCATGTTCATCCATCATCTTCTGCATCATCCTCATCTTCATCATCTTCCTCAGCACTGCTTCTAGCTGCAGCGACCAATTTAGGTTTCTTACTAGGAGTGAGATTGTCGGAGTCGGCCTTTCGCTTAGTTCCCGAACTGGCACTCACACTAGAAACACTCTTGGCCGGAGTTTCTAATGGTTTGTCATTTTCATCTCCACCATCGCCCTTTGTTCTCTCAATTTCTGCAACTTCATCTGCAGTTAAAAATCGACCACCAGGACCTCTGGGTCTTCTCATTGCATGATTATGTCTGCTCTCGTGCAAATATGGCTTCCTACCCTTTGAAGTCAATCGAAGTGCCTCCTCTAATCTTTGTCTCGCAACACGTCTCTTCAAAATACGATGAAATTGTTTTGCGTTGACATATAGAGGTGACTCTTCAACTGCGCCCGATACGAGTTCGGGAGATTGAGGGTGTGGTGGAGGTGCCGGCATAGGAGGTCCTGAAATTGATGACCGAGGCCCATGGTTCATGAGAGGTTGCGCATTAGGTACAGCAGGACTGCCAACTTGTTGTACACTCATACGTCTATTTTGAGCAACTTGGTTGTTAATGGCAGCCTGTGTTGGTGACCGCGGTACTCTTTCCTTCTTCACATTTATACCGGCACCAATTCTTGGCGACGTTTGCGGCAAGCTGGAGTCCGGCATGCTATAAGGATAGTTACCACCAACTGCTGCATTGGTTGCTGCCATCGCTGCTGCCTGGGTATTCATCGGATTGTTTCCATATTGCAAGTTCATCTGCGGTACGTATGCTGGTTGATACCCCAGAGTGTGTTGCTGCATGTGTCCCGCATTGGGACCTCCTTGCTGCGATTGCGAAGAAAGAATGGGGGATTGTTGAACGGCATGTTGCGAATGGACTGGTTGTTGTTGAGATGGTGAAGTAATTGGAGCTCCGGAATTTGGGTGCTGTCCAGAATTTGCATATCCACCTTGAATATGCGCCTGCGTATGATTATGCTGGCCTTGCGGCGGTTGCGAATAATGCGCGTACTCCATCATTTGTACAGTTTTGATCCCGTAAGAGAATTTTGTAAAGAAGTGGAGATCTCAATTGTCTAAGTCGCGGTTGCGTGAAGCTTGGGGCGCGTTGAGGCAATAAGGTATAGTTCTTGATAGGTGTAGAAAGCGACGAAAGAAGTGCTATCGAGTTCACCGAGTACGTTATGAATTGGAGTTGAGTATTATGATGAAAATCGGAAAATTCGATGACTCGGATTAACGCGTTGGCAATGCTGTCGCAAAGGTTCCAGGTGGCTGTCACTGAGCTAGTGCCTAAGCCTGGTCGTCAACCGTCGACTTGGTATGCGTGGATGTGCTGGCAAGCAATATGGTAGGTGTACACCGCAATTGACCGCAGCACAGCATATGCAAGCTGATGTAAACGAAAGGCGCTCGAGTGAGGCGTGCGGCGTATTAGGCTCGAAAGTTGGTCACCCCACGTGAGAATATCGGGTTGAAGTTATTCAAGATAAACGTTGAACAACCTTTTGTGGTATCTAGCGATTTCGCGAGCCACTCGTAGAGGAATGAAGCTTTCTCCAGTAAATATTGACTTTTTGCAATGTATGACTATCCAACCAAACAGATTAGTTATGATGAATGGTCAAGATTGAATCAAGCTTCGGAATGAGAGGGAATGATTGGAATAATGGAGAGGGGAAGGGTTTGGGACCCGATGTAATGAATTTTTTGCCTTTGACCAGTGATGCGCTGGCAATGCATGTGGAGGTCATGCAAAAGCTACGCTTACCTTGTGTATGAGCTTTCTTTAGCTTTACCGGTAATAATGGAATAACAATTGGGAATATTATTCTAATTTAAGTGACGTGACGTACTTGAAATTGAAAAATTCAAATCAAGTAACAAACTGGTGGTTTGTGTTGCGCGTTGAGACCCTTGATGTACCTAATAGGTGTATGTGTAAGTAAGTAAGTTGTACGTATTATGTATCAATAAATGCAAAGAAGAGCTTTTCCTTCCTTGCAAGTTGCGATAAAGGAGCTTTGACGTGGAGTAGAGCAGTGCGGCTGTAATGTGTTTGAGGGGTACTGTACCTTATGATATTGACTCAATGATTGGTAAGTTTAATAAGTTTTGATGGGAAGGGGGGCTGGGATGAGCTTAAACTGGGTTGGATAGTCGAGCGCTTGGTAGTCAACTAACTTCAACTTTGCTCGGAAGTGAATGAACTGTAATGTTGCGTTAAAGATCGGGTCGGTTCGGTTCAATAAACCAAGTAAGTATGGCAGTGAGAGAAGTGAATTAATTCGTGGATTTGAAATAATTGAATCCTGGTATAGGTCGATCTAATGTGTGTGTGTATGTGTGTTGTGTTGTGTGACGCTTCAAGTTGACTGGCTAAAAGAAGTAGACAAGATGAATGTTAGTTAGTTATCCTAGAAGATTCGTATATGTATATAGTATAAGTAGTTTCCCACTTTGCTTTGCTTTTAGTTTCCTTTGCTTTGCTTCGAATTGATCCAGTACTCCTCACGCTTTAGCTTCTATTGTGTACCCATAGCTTGGATGCTAGTGTGACACGCAGCCGCGACAATGAGTACAAATCAAGAGCAGAAGCCGAGGGTAAACAACTTTTAGACGGTGGATAGGAAATTTGAAGTATCAAATTGTTTGACTAGGGACGAAACTCACCTTCCAATACGCGACTTGGAATCAATTCAGATCAATTCAATGGCAAGCTCAGTTTAATCCTTCCCGCAGGTAGAATTAATCACGGGATCGGTGCTATGGCCAATTGTTTTGGCGTCGAGGTCTTTGGAGTTGTTGATAGGGCTATGGCGATGATATTGCTGGTGGAGGAAGACGATGAATGATTGGCAGTGTTCTGCTTTGGCTTGTCACCACCCCTCTTTTTCCCAAAATCCCACGATGTTTGATACAAGGTATCTGACACGTTATTGGAGTCTCTCTTCTTTGCTTGCTTTCCCGTGGGAATTGAGCGCGTCTAGTATGGGTAAACAAAGAAAGAAGCCTAGGCAAGTATAAATCAGGTGGGTAGAAATTGATATTCCAATACCAATTCACGCCAATAAACCGAGTGAATTCGTAACGATCGGGAGAGGGAAAAAATCACGAGCGTAATTGGACTGGATTGGATTGACTGTGCTTCTTTCTCTAATCAACCTTTATGTTGTGTCGATTGTTAAGGTTTATTTTTGTGTACAGTTGCGATGCGATGCGACCATCTGTATGGATGGAAAAACAAATTGTGCAAGAGTAGGTAGAATTGAGGGAAAATGATTCGTTATCGTGAAAAAGGGACTCGATAAATACTGGAATACGTCTGATTGGTATCTCGAGTACGTTTGAGTCTTGGGGTAACAACGATGAAAATGAAAATGGGTCGTTTTTGGTTTGTGGTTTTGCGTTGAAATTGTTTGATTCGTTGTTGATGTTAAAGGAAGGGGGAGATGAAAGGTTTTGATTGGGGATCTCGAGATATGAGTAACTTAGTGGGCTGGGCTAGCAAAGGAGGCTAAGGGGAATGGGGGATAGTGTAATTTGTATTTTCTGGTATTTTCTTTTGTGTTAAGTTTTACATTGTTTTATTTTATTTTATTTATTAAATTGACTGGATTGACTGGATTTGACTGGATGAGAATTTAATTGATTATTTTTCCAAGGTAAAATAAATAGGGAATAATAAATAATAATAATATCCAAACCAACATCAAGGCTGCAAGGTCTAAGGTCTAAGGCATGAGGCATGAGGCATGAGGAGGGTGTGAGGGTCAAAGTCAAGGAGGTCCCAGGTCTAAGGTCCACGGTCTATAAGGTCTACGGTCTAAGGTGCGGCCTAAGGTTCAAGATCTAAGATCCCAAGGTCTGTTATCGTATAGCTACTAGCTACTAAGTGGGTGAAGACAGCTATTTGTTATATTTTCTTTTCTTTTCTTTTCTCTTCCCTTCCTCTCTTTTCTTTTTGCCCTTGAATTTGGGTTTCTTCAACAAGGCCGGTAACCTGCAGGCCTTTGACTGTCAACCTCCAACATTCAACCGGTACCTACGAAGTATCAATTGTACACACAGATGTGGAGAACCAATTCAATCAATTCAATCAATTTCGGGGTCACTTGGAGTGATGGCCTCATAGCTCCCAATAATCTAGCTCGTAATTCTCTCATTGGTTGATATATTATTGAGGTAAATGGATAATCAATGTGTAATGCCCTTTCGGAGGGGCAAAGGGACGAGCCGTGGATTTCCTAGTTTTCATTGGTGCATGGAAAAGAGGAAGCAAAAGCAATAAATTGGTTGGTGGTTGGGAGTGGTTGGTTCTCTTTTGCGTTAGATTGGGTATAGCAATCAATCCGCACCTCGTACTTGAATACTTATTAATATTATTACTACTGTACTACTGTACGAAGTACTGACGGAAGAAAAAAAACTCATGACTGTCCGTTGATATGTATGGGAAAAGAAAGAAAAGAAAAAAAAGTTCTGAATTAGTGGGGGTGAGATAGATAGACTTAGTGGAGGTCTGGAGAGAGGGGAAAAACGGGATTAAAATGATCTTCACTCTTGACTCGTGACTCGTGATATTCTCATCATCTTCATCATCTTCATCATCTTCATCATCCTTCGAGCTGACCTGTATGTATCTGTGTGTACTATGTACTATGTCTCTACATGTATGTTCTACTGCGGCTGTAAAACGTCCGTCTCTCTCCAGGTGCTTTAAGCAAAACTTTATTTGTATCTAATTATCGAACTGAAAAAACTTTCTACATTAACAAAAGAGATGGCTGGTCAACCGCCAACTAATGCTCATCTAATGCTCAACTACCATAGTACCATACCAGGCGAGCCAGGTAATCATAACATCACTTCATCCAAAATATCAGGTACGTTGGGCCAGGCACAGTACCTTCATTCGACCTTCAATTCCAATTTCCAACTCGCATGGAACATTACCAATAATCTCACTCTTTTCCCAATTTGACTTTCCCGTTGCCCTTCAATCAAAGAAACCCTTCCTCGACTCCCTGTTTGTGCCATCAACCGTATGATGACGAATCAGGATCAAGAAAAGTCGGTGTATGTGGAGTATGTACGGTATGTATTACGAGAGAGAAGGGGTGTGGTATATGTGTGTGTGTGTGAGGATGTGAGGATGTGAAGATGTGAGGATGTGCGTGTGTATCTCTCTGTCACTGAAGCCTTGCAATATGGAAGCATGAAAGCCAAAAGAAAAAGCAAAAGGGTCGGATTCTCCTGCAATCTTCGGTTGGGGTGGACATTCGGTGCTTCGGAGTCTAGATAACCGTGAGCCTTGAAGATCAAAACGGGTGACATCCCCGTGGGAGGGTGGGAAAGGTTGGGTATCAAGGAACGAGATGTATGCTACGTTGGTAGCTTTGATACAATCAATATGTACCGGTAGGGAAGTGTTATGCAATGCTGGCATCGATGTCTTGATGTCAATAGATTCAATACTTTCACAATCACAATGCTACTCCAGTACCTGATAAATGGGTCTACTATGATAATGCATCCCGTATCCCGTATCCCGTATCCCGTGAAGAGAGGGAGATTCCGTGGTCGTCTCCAGTTACTGCACCATGCGGGCAAGGCAAAGTTATCCTTCTTCCATCTACTTACTATCCACTATCCACCATCTACCAAAATCATGCCATATATGCCATACATGATACTGCTTCTTGTCCATCAAAAAGTCCAGACCAATGTAAAAATATCAATCAATCAGAAAATCCATCTTCATACTATTTTATTACTGGTGGAGAACCGCGTTAATATTCCTCTTTGGGCCTTTTTTATGGCTCTCGACATTATAATCCTTCCCAATCATCCTTCCCAGTGAATTTTTTTCTATCTGCACGTGTGAAGCCACTATAAGGCCGAAAAGTTGTGACGCCTTCTTCTTTCGGAAGTTGTGACCGTTCTATTGGTCTCGTATCCTTGCTCGTAGTTATGCTCTTTCCTCTTTTCCTCTTTTCCTCTTTTCCTCTTTTCCTCTT